CTTGACTAGGAATATTAGTTGGTTCCACGACTGAAAGAGGATGAACTGTTAAATAATTATTGATTTTATTTTCTTTTTTATTTTCTGAACGGCTCAGTAAAACAATTCTTTCTTCGTGGGGAATCAATTGTCTTTCTTCAATTGAATGTTGAGTAGAAGTAACAATAGTTTTTCTTTTATCTTGTGGATAACTGCTTTTTAATTCTTGTAATTCCTGAATTAGTTTTTCTTTTCTTTTATCTTGCTGATTAATTATTGATTGTTGTTCAGCGTTATCCTGTTGGAGTTTGTTGATATCGTTTTGTAGTTTTTCTCTTCTCTCCGGAGTAAATTGACGAAAACTGGCGGGAGTATCTAAAATGCGATTAATCGCTTCTTGCTCTAAATTACTAGATTTTTCGGATGAATCGGCTGATTTGTCTTGTATTGTTTGCAATTGTTCTTGTAACTTTTTCAATTCTGCACTGAAGCGAGTTTTTAATTTTTGTTCTCTTTCTTCGTCAGAAGAGGAAGTATGAGCAATTTCGGCGATTTCCCGATAATTATCAATGATGAAACGACGGGTTTCTAAATTAATTAATTCTTTTTGGTTTTTTTTGTAAATAAACTGAGCCTTTTTCTGAATATTTTCCAAACGTTGGCTAATAAATCCTTCTAAAACTTCTTTTAGAGAAAAAACTTTTGGTTGATCATCAATTAAAGCTCGCATTTTTACGGCAAAAGTGCTCTGTAATTTAGTGGATTTGTATAATTGATTGAGAATAACCTCCCCGTCATAATTAGGGTCAAATTTTAGATGAATATTAACTGGCTCTTCCCAACTAGAATAATCAGCCACGCTACGCAAACCGTCAATTTTTTTGTCTTTAATTATTCGGCTAATACTCTCGACTAATTTGGCCTTATTAACCTTATAAGGCAATTCGGTAACATGAATTAAGTCATTTTTGGTCTTGGCTGAACTGTCAGCTCTTGTCTCTTTTTCTAGTTTGCTAGAAGTAATTTCTGCTTTGGCTCGGATATAAATTGTCCCTTCGCCTTTTTCATAAATGCTATGTAATTTTTCTTGTTCTAAAATTTGACCACCAGTGGGAAAATCGGGAGCTGGCAAATAAGTAATCAATTGTTCTAGACTAATTTCTGGCTCTTGAATAAGATTAATAGTGGCGTCAACCACCTCTCCTAAATTGTGAGGTGGAATGTTAGTACTCATTCCGACCGCGATACCACTAGAACCATTTAATAATAGATTAAGATTGGCTGGTAATATTTTTGGCTCTTTTTCTGTTTCATCGTAGTTATCAATTCACTCAACGGTTTCAAAAGCCAAGTCTTCCAACAGGTAAGCACCAAACTTAGTTAAGCGGGCTTCGGTGTAACGCATGGCTGCCGCTGGATCACCATCCATCGAGCCTCAATTACCTTGTCCGTCAATTAGAGGATAGCGATAATTGAAATCCTGAGCCATTTTTACCATGGCTTGGTAAACACTTTGGTCGCCATGCGGGTGAAGTTTACCAATTACGTCTCCGACTACTTTGGCGGCTTTGCGGTGGGCTTTATTAGGTAAAAGTCCTAATTCATAAAGAGTATAAAGTATTCTCCGCTGAACTGGCTTTAATCCATCATGTAATTGTGGCAAAGCCCGATCTTCTACCACTTCATAAGCGTATTCCAGGAATTTTACTAATAAGGCCTGTCCAATATCTACTTTATTATCAATTACCGTTAGTTGAGCGTTTTTATGTTCGCCACTTTCTAGCCGTCTTTTGCGAGGTTCACTTTTTGAACCCATTAAATCCTGAATAATTTCCCGGATAGTAGGAGGATTAGGGAAAAGTAATTCATGAAGGCAACGCTTTTTAATTGCCATGGTAGTTTCCCGTAGTTGTTGGGGATTCATTTCTCCCAAACCTTTAAATCGTTGCAAACGACCAATAGTCCCCTTGTTTTCTTGCTGATAAGTAACTAATTCATGGTCGCTGTAAAAATATTTAGTTTCTTTTTTGGTTTGCAAACGATAAAGAGGAGTTACCGCTAAATATAAGCGATGTTCTTCGATCAAATAACGAAAATAGCGAACAAAAAAAGTTAAAGCCAAACACTCGATATGCTTACCATCGGGGTCAGCATCGGTCATAATCACTATTTTTCCATAACGGAGTTTTTTTAATAAATCCTGCTGAGTTTTTTCAACTATCGTTCGCAATTGTTCCGCCGTCAAAAAAGTGTGAGCCGGAATTACCTGCTCTTGCTCATTTTCATCTTGATAGAAAAATTCTTCGGCAATTTCTAGTTCTTCGGGAATGATTTCGGCTTCTAATTTGGTTCGAAAGCGATTATAATGATTTTGAGTAGCTTCACTGACACTAAACCCAAGGGCATTAATTAAGTTCTTGATTTCCTCATTTTCTAAGATTTTGGCACGTTCTGCCTTTTCAACATTAATAATTTTTCCTTGAACCGGTAAAACAGCTTGATTATACGGATCACGGGCCAATTTGGCACTACCTCCCGCTGATTCCCCTTCGACAATGAATAACTCATTGCTGGCAACTTCTTTAGAAATACAAGGGGCTAATTTACCTGGCAAAGAGACACCTCGCCCTCCTTCGCGCAAGGATTTTTCATACTCTTCATACTTAACCCGATTTTGAGCAGTAGTAATAATTTGGCGGCTAATTGCTTCCGCGCTGCTTCCGTGATCTTGAAGAAACTTTTTGACTAAATCATAAGTCGCATTTTTAACAATTTCCCGAACTGGTTTATTAGCTAAACGGTCCTTAGTTTGCCCCGAGAATTGAGGGTCTTTCATCCGAATGGCTAAAATAGTTACCAACCCTTCTAAAACGTCATCTTTTAAAACACTCACCTTTAAACTCGGATATTTCTCCTTAATCCAATCGCGAGTAGCACTAACTAAACCATTTTCAAAACCCTCAATATGAGTTCCGCCACCGCCAGTACTAATATTATTACAAAATGACTTAACTAAACTCTTTCTTTGGACCTGACTATATTGAAAGGCAAAGTTTAAATAAAAATAATCCTTCTCATTAGGATTGATTCATTCTTCTGCACAAATTTCGGTATTTTCTAAATAATTATCTTGATTTACTTCTTTTACTCAACCAGCCAAACCACTACTGTAATGGTAAGTAATGGGAGTAGCTTCGGGCGAAGCAGCAAAAATTAAACTGACGTTGGGATTAAGGTAAGCTAATTCTTTTAAGCGGTTTTGAATAGTTTCAATTTTAAAGTAAGTAAACTCTTGAAAAATTTTAGGATCGGGAGTGAAAGTAATAGTAATTCCATTAGCCGCTTCCGGAGTATCAGTAATTTGGGAATTAATTAAATTTCCTTCTTGGAATTCTAAATACTCGGTTTTGCCGTCCCTCCTACTTCAGACTTTTAAGTTAGCGGAGAGAGCATTAACCGCCGTTACTCCGACTCCGTGCAGTCCACCGGAAGTTTTGTAAACTTTGTTATCAAATTTACCCCCCGAATGAAGAAAAGTAAAAATAGTTTCTAAAGTACTTTTTTTAGTATTAGGATGAATTTCAATAGGAATACCGCGTCCATTGTCCTTAACCGTGATAATTTTTTGGTCAGCAGAAAGAGTTATTTTTACTTCACTACAATAACCAGCAACGGCTTCGTCAATCGAGTTATCAATTACTTCTTGAAAAAGATGGTGTCAACCTTGTTCGTCCGTGGAACCAATATACATTCCTGGTCTTTTGCGAACTGCTTCAATGTTTTCTAAGACTTGAATGCTCTCGGCTCCATATTCGTCTTTTTTTTTCTCTTTAGCGGACATAAATTTATAAATTAATATTCGTGATAACAAACTCGCACGAAAAAATGTGCGGATTGACTTAAAAATAAGGATAGAAATTTTTCTAACTAAAACCTTATTAATTTTTTTACAGAAGGGAATTTTTAATAAAAAACCTTTTTGTAAAAATGGCAGAGGCGACAGGACTTGAACCCATAACATTCAGTTTTGGAGACTGACGTTCTACCATTGAACTACGCCTCCTAACTAAGAGAGTTGTCTGCCACTCTCTGCACTTTTAACTATGTCAAATAATTAATCATTTAAAACCATGAAGAATAAGCCGTATTCTGTTTTTAACCGGTGATCTGTCTTAATTCCTTGTGAGAATTACCAATTGAGATTATTTTTCTCTTTCTTTGGTGCTCCTACCAATTTAAAGAATTTGGATTGCTCGCTAGTGGGGTTTACGACGTTCCACTTCCTCGGTTTCCCGAGTAATCGTCACTATGGCACTTTTATAGGCTAATATACCATATGCCAAGGAGAGAGAAATAAGGCACACAGGTAGTTCGCCAGCCGTCGGGAGGAGAACAATAGACCCGCCTAGGTTTATTGGACCTAGCACTAAAACTACTTACATTCCAGTAAGTGCGAGTACGGACTTTCCTCAGTTATTTTTGATAACTGCCACCAGTCTTCATGTATTATTATCTTATTAATCATTTTTTTTCTTTAATCAACCTTGACAATGTGCACAATAAAATCTTACTTCAAGTTTAGCACAATAACCACTTCTATCCATAGAAACCTGATTACCTTTCAAAAAAACTCTTCAGTGCTTTCAATTTCATACTTTTTCGCCATTTTCTTTAACTACTTCAAATGGCAACTTATGTCTACAATTACTACATATAATATCAACTTTACTACTACTTCCAGTGATAATGCTATTTCGCTGTTTTGCTATTTCACGAGATAAGTCTCCAAACATCAAAAAGCCTTTTTGGCCAGTTATTTCTATTCAAAGCGTATTGTCGTTTGCGTATTCTTGAACTTGCATATTTATTCTTAATTTTATTATTTTGTTATTGCCTACCCTAATGAGTAGGCAATGTTTAATTATAATCTAACTTTCAATAAATGTAACATCATTAATCATTTTCTTCCCCTTCTTCTTTTTCATCCCCTTCTGTTTTACCTTCTTCTTCAGCTGGGCCATTTCATCATTCACTAATATTCTTCCAGAAGATTACTGCTAATAGGGCGATTATTGCCAATATTGCCAATCCATACCAGTGTCAATTTGCTTTGAGATGGGCCAAAACACCTTCTTCTTTTGTATCACCACCATTACCACCATTACCACCATTGCTTTCTCCCTTAATCTTATAGTATTTGTGCCCAGAACCTCCTTTAGTTTCTTCTCAGAGATATTTCACCATACCTTTTTCATCAGGTTCCCCATTTTTTTCAGTAGCACCATAATTAGTCATATCTAATCTTTCCTCATCATCAGTATCCTTGTTTTTTACTTTGTCTTTCATAGCCGTCTTCGTAGAACTTTTGTTGTCACTATCTTCTAATCAACAAGTATGAATAGTATTAACTACTCGTTCAGGGTCCTTACCAAGAAATTCTTTTCAAATTTTATCTTTGTCATCCTTCTCAGTAAGTTTAGTTCCATCATCAAGTCCTTTGCCTTTTAAGTGTTCAATAAATTTTGTTTTTGGAGTTTTTTTGTCAGAATCAGTAGCTTTCTCGATTATTCCCTTAATTTTATCCTTTGAAACACCCGCATTTCCTCATTTGTCTGCTAGTTCCTTAGTTACCACACCATCAATATTTCCAAAGGCTGCTTTCAAGTCGGCTTCAGATACTACAGGAGTTTGTGGAGCATCTTTGTATTTATCTGGTTCAGCAATTGCCTTTTCAATTTCCGCCAAATCATTTTTCTCAGTATCTTCTAGTTCAAGATGTTTAACATATTCATCGAAATACCCCTTAATCATTTCTAAAGTAAGGTTTTTTTTATCTTCATCTTTCATAATTGCTTTTATGGTCTCAGAAAGTGAACCGTTTTTTTTATTTTTTAATTTTTTTCAGTTCTGATCAATACCAGCTCGCGAAAGTGAAGCATCACTTCTCTTCTTATTTAATGCATCTTCTTTAACTTTAAATTCCGAATCAAACGCCGCATCGTCATTCATTTCTTTTTTAATAAGACGAAGATAACCTAACGCTTGTTCTAATTCATCTCAATTCCATTTTCCTTTAGCATAAATTGTTTCAAAAGCTTTTTTCTTTCCCTCTAAATCTTTCTCTTCAAAATCTTTTCAGCCTTGAAGAATTTTTTTTTCCGCTTCTAAATCTTTAACTTGTAAACCATAGTTAATACTGTCAAGTTCTAATGAAGAAATCTTTCCGCCTAGATCTTCACGTCGTTGTTTATAAACGGAAAGTTCGGTAATTGATGCTCCCACCAATTTAGTTGAAGCGTAATCCTTTCATTCGACGACATCAGATCATATTTCATTATTTTGTGCTGCCAAAACAACAGCATTCGCAACCGTAGGATTGTCAGTACCACTAATTCTTTTCATTCTTTCAACAAGTTTACTTCTATCAGGAAGAATATATGCTCCTTTTAAAGCTTCTTGGCAAATTTTTATCAAATGGTCATCATAATCACCAATATCAGAAGAAATTCCTAATTTTAAAAGCAATTCCCGCATAGTTCTAAAAAATTTAACACATTCAAGATCTCTTAAATAAGATGCCTCTGTATCCGTGTAACTATCTGTAATTCTAAAACCTGCTGCTCAACTATTATCATTTGAATTTCATTTGTCGTTCATAAAAGAACCAAAAATTTCTCATCACATTTTCGTAAGGGTTTTAAAATCAGTATCACTTTCAATTTTTTTAGGGTTTTGTTGTTGTTTTTTAATCATCGCTTTTTGATCGTCAGTAACTGAAGAACTTTTGGGATTACAAGAATATCCACCTAAAGTTAAACCTTCCCAACCTTTTTTACCATCCTTTGGCTTTAAATAATCATCATCATTAATATTGTCAAGATAAGGCTTATTCTGTAACTCATAAGCAGAAGTACCCGTTTTTAAAGGAAATACCTCTTTCATGAATTCAAAAATAATTTCTCAATCAGGAATCATACGGAATTCGCTAAATTTATTTTTTAAATAATTACAATCATTTTTATTCACCGCTTCTGCATATTCCTTAACTTTTGATCCGAACCAATATTCATAGGCCTCATTTGAAGTCATTTCTTTCCCGACAATGGCTTCAACCCTTGAAATATATTTAGTAATTACCTTAATATTCTTTTTTAATTGGTCTTTTTTAGAAGAACCAGATTTTTCAATAACTTTTTCAAGTTTATCTGCACCAATATCTCGCAAAACTCACAAATACGAAAACCCAAACTGTTTAATTGAACCTGTAATATTATTTTTAGTGTTATATCTTCTGTCATTATAAAGTGACAAGGCGGTTTCTTTATAAAAATTTGAGGTGACAGTTGACCTAACAATACTTTTAATATTTTCTAAAAAACTTCTGGCGTGATCTAATATTTCTTGAGGAGTTGCTTTACCAGCACCAGCAGTACCGGTAATAGTATCAGTAATTGTATTTTCATCATCCACTAAGGCGTTATTACCTTTTCCGTAATCTTTAACACTATAAGTATCAGTAATCGAAGTTAATTCTATCCCTTCTGGATGATCTTTTGAAATAAGTCTACCAGAACCTGTCAAAGTTACTTGAAGGTTATTCCTCTGTGCAATAATTTTTTCGGCTCGCTTTTCGTCTTCAATTGCAGTTCCGTAACTGACTTTAAGTCCTCTGATTAACTTATCATTTGCTGCTTTCTTAACATTCTTGTCTGTAATTTCTTTATCAATTTCTTTAATTCTCGAACTCCTTTCTGCCTCAGTTTTGTCCGCAACTCCTATTCACAATGACAAATTAAACAAAGCAATTTCAATCCTCCCTTTTTCAAAATTTATTACTCTGAAAGCTAAACTTTGATTAGTACTTTCTAATGAAATCTCATTAAATAGTGCTTCCTCTTTCTTAGTCGCCCTCTCAGCCCTTTTAACTTTTTCAACTAATTCAGCAACAACTTGAGCATTTTCTAATTTACCTCCAATTAAAGGGTCATCAAAATAAGCCAATTCTTCGGGAGAAAAAAAATCAGTTCCATCTGGATTTTTTTCACTTCTTATATCTTGAATATTTTTATATTTACTATCTTTTCAATTAGTCATATTTATATTTTTTATATTTTAATTAGTTTATATGTATACAATTTATTTTATTTCGTATTAATTTTTAGTTTTAATTCCTTACTTTTTGATTCATCATTTGTTATATTATAATATTTTAGCACATTAAGTCTATTGTAATTATATTTTTGCATTAAAAAATCTAAGTTTTATAGATTTACAGAGCATGCTTAATCCTTTATTCAAATTCAAACATAACCAGCCTTTTGGGGCTAATTTGCCATTATTAACATTATTTAAAAAAAAAAAAAAAGAGAGAGAGAGAGAGAGAGAGAACAAATGCTCCTCCATAACAAGAAATCCAGAATTTTACTGGCTTATCCTCTCACCTTTTCTTATTTTATTTATTTTATTTAATGATAACAACACTACCGAGAATTTTTTAAATCTTTCTGACTAATCAATTCCTTTTGGCTTTTCTACTTTTGCCTATATCTTAATTTTATATTTATGAAGTTGGTATACCATTTGATATATCAGAGTAAAGATTAGTAATATTCCCTAATATCAGAGAGAGAATAAAGTAATCTAAATGAATAAGAAGTAATTATTTACTATCCAAATAAGTTAGACTTTGGACTTCTCGATTGATTAATTGTCTTAGTTGAGTAGTGGTAACGAACTGACTACCGACTACTTTATAAAAGGTTTTTAACGCTAGACCTCAACCATCTCAATTACCTCCATAAATATCACCAAAATGGAGATTAAAAGTCATATTGGGGAAATCTCGCACTAATTCATGTAAATGATGACAGCCTGAACGAGGAACAGGACTACCCTGATAACGAGTGCCTTGTTGGATTTCATCAGAGTTTAGATAGAAATTCAAGCAAGCCTGATACATTTGCTCTCGGAGTTCGCGAAGAGCTTGTTGCTTATTCTTTTGACCTTTCAGCATAAGTTCTCTTCTACGACCGGCTTCTTCTAATTCTTTACCAAGAGTTTCCTGTAATTTGACTTCTTTTTCTAGTTTCTCTAATTCTAATTGTTTTTCCTGTTTTTCTTTTAGTAAAGCATTTTCTTTTTTCTTTAATTCCCTTTCGTTTTCTTGTTTTTTTCTGTTTATTTCTTCCTGAATTCGAGCCTTTTCTTCATTAGCCTGTTTTTCAATTCTTTGTCGTTCTTCCTTGTCTTCCAAAGCAATTTGGGCTAATTTCTTTTGCTTTTCTTCTTCAATTAATTGAGCCTGATTAGCCAGTCTTTTCTGTTCGGCTTGGTTTTCTTTTTCCATTTTTTCAATTTCATCCCGTTTTTTCTTTTCGGCTAATTCATTAGCTTTTATTTGATTAGCCAAGTTTTCTTCGGCTCGTCTTTTGGCTTCTTCAATATTGGCTTGCTTTTTCTTGAATAAGGCTTCTTGTTCTTTTTGTAATGATTCGGCTCGGGCTACTTCGGCTTCTCGTCGTTTTATTTCTTCTTGTTCAGCCAATTCCCGTTCTTTGGCTCTTCTTTCCTCATTTTCTTTAAGTTTTTGGTCTTTTTCAGCAAGTTTTTCTTCTCGTCTTTTTCTTTCGGCTTCTTCGAGTTTTTTTTGGGCTGCTTGTCTTTCTAATTTTTTCCGTTGTCGTTCAGCTTCTTCTTGACTTAGATTAGCCAATAAATCATCATAACGAGAAGAAGTTGATTTAATTGTTCCTGATTGAAATTCCTTCCGCAAATCTTCATCACTGCCTTCATTTAAGACTCAATCACTATCGACTTGCTTAATATCTCTTAACCAAGCACAGTAATCATATTCCCGAGGTTTTAGACCGATATCAATTCACTCCTTAGTTTGGGCATAAGTAAAATTTTGGTTAGTTCATTTTTTTACTAATTCTGAGGTAAAGTCCGAGTTAATGTTAGTTCAGTCTTCTTCTAACTCTTCCTCGCTGTCATAAAATTTCTCAGGAGGAAAACGGTAACTACCAATTTTCTTTTCAATTTGTTGATTAATTAACTCTTCCAAATCAAGATTATTTAAAATTTCTTTCTCTTTTTTGTTCTTAGAAGAGACAAACTTGGCTCAGATAGTTTTATTAATAGTGATTAATTGATTATCTAAGAAATCTAAGTATTCTTGGTAATCTTCGCTTAGGCTCATATTTTCTGCTAAGAAATCATCTCAGGAATAATCAGTAAAGTTTTCAATGGCAAAAATTAGTAATTGCCAGTAATTATAACGGGGGACTGTCTTAAAACCGCAAGTCAGTAAAATATTTTTTTGGTAAGACTGGAAAACTCCAATCTGCACCCAACTATCTAAGGGCAAACTAACATTTAGACTTTGTCTTTCTTCTCTTTTCTGGGCGAGAGTTAGTAAAGAACGGATGATGGAAAGTTTTTGCTCCTGAACTTCTTCTTCTCTGAGAGTCTTTTCTTGCTCTTTGGCTTTTTCTAATAAAGATTTTTGCTCTCCGGCTAAGAATTTAGTCTTTAAAGTTAAGTAGGGATTAGGAGCTTTCCCAAAATCAGTGTGGGGATTAGGGATTATTTGGTGGTTCACTAAAAAAGATAAACTAGTGAATTTTAAGTTGAGAGATTGGAGTAATTCTTGGGTTTGTGTGGAATATCTATTTTCTTTTAGTAAAGGACTTAAACTAGTCAAAATATTTTTTTGCTGAGGTTGTAAAGGAAAAGTTTTGAGATTGCCGGTCTGAGTTAAATTCTCTTGCTGTTCTTCGCTTAAATTAAGACTATTTAAACCAAACTTCAATAAATTGTCTTTTTGTTCTTCGCTGATTTCTCAGTTAGAGGCATCAAAAAAACTAACTCCCATATTTTCTAAAGAATTTCTTTGGGCTTCACTCAGATTTAGGGTGTTTACTAATAAGCGTAATACTCCTTCTTTTTCGGAGGTAGTCAGACCGAAATTTTTCTTTTCGTGGTAAAGAGTGTGGTTTAGTTGGACGAACTTTTCTTTTTGAGAGTAATTATTTATTCCTAAATTGTTTAATCCAGAATTAAGTAGTTGGAATTTTTGGGAAGTGGCTAAAGAAGGATAATTATTGGTTATATCTTCCATTTCTTCCTCAGTTAAATATTGGGCTTGGCAAGAAAGAGCAATAAATTGTTCCGGAGTTAAATATAATTGGGCTAAAAGTTGTTGTTCTGCTTCATTAGGGAGAGGGATTTTGCTTAATCGGACTGCGAAAGGTTTAGTTGTTTCAGAATCTTTATCTTTGCCTAATAATTTATCGGCTTTTTCTAATTCTTCAAGCAAAATTGAACGGCTAGCAAATTCCGGGTATTTAGTCTTTATCTTTTCCCAAGTCATAGAAGAACCCGATAAGCTGTCTTGTGCTTCTTTTAATTTTTGTTCTATTTCGGCTGCTTTTTGGAGGGTTTCAGTTTGTTGTTGCAGTTCTAATTCTTTTTTTTGGGATATCTCTTTGTTTTGGATAACAGTTTTTAAGTTGGCTAATTGCTCGGTTCTGATTTCACTTCTGGGGTTAGAAAAGATGTTATATTCATCAATCATTCCTCCTAATTTATTGCTGTTTTGTTGGATGTCTTTTCATTCTTGTTTGGTAATGTTATTTTCTTGACAAATTTCTTTGGTTTGTTGTTGATAAAAAGTTGCTATTTTGGCTTCCTCTTGCTTCTTTTGGTATAGAGTATAACCATAAATTCCCAAAATGGCTAAATTAAAGCCAATTACCGAAGGTCATTTATATTTTTCTTGTTCGGGAGCGGAGTAGGCTAAGACATTCCCCATCACATAACCAAGAATTAGTAAATATTTTCCTCATAATTCGGAATATTCTTTTAAAGTATCGCGGTGATAATAAGCAATCGCGAGAGTTATATTGAGAATAACTAAGCCCGGTAAACCATTTCGTTTATAAACCACATATTCTAAGAGGAAAATTATTAAGAATAGCATAAACATGGTCATGGTTTTTTGACTGGCGGCAGCCGTCTGTTCCATTTCTTTTAATTGCTGGGTTAGCTCTTCCAGTTTTTTGTCTAATTCTTCTTCCTTGGTTTCTTCGGATTTTTCTTGGTCTTGATTTTCCTGTAATGCTTGCTGACTAAGGGCTTGGACAGTAGACCATTGTTGTTGCAGTTCTTCGGACTGGTTTTCTTCTAACTCTTGCTCTTTTGCTTCTAAGGTTTCTTCAAATTCTAACTTTTTTTCTAAGTGTTCTAGTTCGGTTTGGGCTTGGTTTAATTCCTTTTCGGCTTGCTTAGTTTCTTTTTCTTCTTCTTGAAGTTGTTTTTGATTTTGTTTAGTTGGTTGGGCTTGGGCTTGTTGCTTAGCTTTTTTTTCTTCTTCCTTTTGTCTTTGGAGGGCTTTTTGTTTAATTTTGACTTTACTTTGGGCTTGGAGTACTTGACTAGCAGTAATAGTTGATGGTTTAGGGGGCTTTGATTTAGTTGGTGAACTTTCTATCTCTTCTAAACCAGTGCTAATTTCTTGTTGAATAGTTTGTAATCTTGTTAAGGTTTCGGTCTTTAATTTTTCGATTTCTTCTAAAACATTATCGGACTGCTTAGTTTCTTCTCCGGCTGCTTCGGTATTTTGTTCGTTAGGTTGAGCCTGTTCTTCCTTTCTCTGGTCTTCCTTAGTTAACGGGGCTGATTCATGTTCTCCTTTAATTCTTTCTCCCCAAGGTTCAAATTTAGTCTCTTCGGGTTTTAATTGATTTTTCTCTTCTCAGTTAAATCATTCGGGAGTAAAGAGAGAATAAGGATTATCAGGCTTTACTTGGTCTCCGGTATAGTTTCTTTCTCATCAACTATTAGGAGCAAGCATATATCCCTCGGTTTTTGGGAAGTCTTTGCCAACGGTGCCAGTTTTGACACCGACTTTTCAGTCTCTTTCGGCGGGTTCTACTTTGATTAATTGCTTAGTTTCTTGTAAAAGATTAAGAGTAGCCAGTAATTTGGTTTCTTCGGCTTTTAGACTGAGGGATTTTTGAATTTTATCTAATTTGGACTGCTCGGATGAATAATCACGGAGGGCTTGGGCTTTTAGTAAGTTATCTAGTCTTTCATTGGCTAATTTGGCTTCTTTTTTGGCTTTTTTGGTTTCTTCTTTATTCTTTTTGATTTGTTCTTGGAGTTGTTCGGTAGTTGCTTGAATGTTTTGGACTTCTTCGGTTAGTTTATCAAGTTTTTGATTGGTGTTTTGGGCGATAGTTAGAGTTTCGTTTATGCGGTCATCTAACTTTTGCGAAAGTTTATCCATTCGTTCGTGGACTTCTTCTTGGATATCGTTCATTTGTTCGGCAACGAGGTTAAGTTTTCTTTGTTGAGCAAAAAGAATGTCGTTGGTTTCTTGTAATTCTTCCAAAATTTCTTCTTGTTGGACTCTTTGTTTGGCTTGTTCATTGCGAACATTGGTTAATTGTTCATTAAATTCCTCAATAGTTTCTTGATTGTCTTCAATTTGGGCTTCGATTATTTTGGTTCTTCGTTCATATTCAGCTTGGGTGTCTTCAAAGGCTTGTTGAGTTTCTGTGGTTTGCTGATTGATTTGGGATTTGTAATTAATAAACTCATCCTCAATTTGTTCTTTTTCTTGCCGAAGATTTTCTAAGTTAGTATTGGTGAGTTTTATTTTATCTTGGACTTCTCTAATTTCTTCTTCGCGTTTTTGTCTTTCTTCTTCGATTTTTCTTTTGTTAGCGAGGATTTTTTGTTCTTGTTCTTCAAAGCGTTCGTTGACTTCATTGCGGAAGTCTTGGAGTTCTTTGCGGAGTTGGTTTTGAGCCCGAGTAAGATTTTCCGTGACTTCTTGGATTTTGGATTCTAACTCCTGTTTCTGAGCTTTCATAGCTCGTTTTTGTTCCTCAAATTTGCGGAGATTTTCCCCTTGGGCTGTGGCTATTTTTGCGTCTAGGTTTTTAATGTCTTGGTCGAACTTTTCCCCTTGTTGTTTTAAGGCTCCTTCCAATTTGGATTTAACCCCGTCAATGGCACCTGCCAAAACTTTACCTTGGGCATCTATTTTGTTGTTAACATTATTTAAACCGTCTTGTAAATCACCAACAGCATCAGCCAGACCACCAAGTTTTGCGTCAATTGCAGCATCTTTGGCTCTATCGGCACCAAAAGAAAAAATACCAGCTATTTGTGAGACACCAGGAATACTTGATTTACTTAATCATTTCGTTCCTTCTTCTAGGACACCTAATACTGAACTAGTATGCTTTGTAAACGTTTCCTTTAATGCTTTACCAGCATCTTTTATAGTCTGTTTTATTGATAATTTATTAAGTTCGTCGTGAATATCTGTCATGTTATATAAAATTAGGTTATAAAAATTTAGTTATATATGGTAAGTAATGAAGTAAAATTATTGGAAATTCAGGAAATTGGACAGGAATTGACAAAAAAAAAAAAAAAACAAGAATTAGAAAAAAATAGATTAAATCTTTCTATAACTTGGACTGGTGGTAATGTTCTTTGTTGTATTGGCGTATTCTTTGTGATAAAAGATAACCCGTGAGGCATGTTTATTCTTTTTGTCATTGGTGCTGTTCTTGGAATTCCCTTTGTTATTCTTTGGGGTAGTAATCTGAAAAAAGTTAATCAGGAAGTAGAACAGTTAGAAAAAAAAAAACAAGAGTTAAGGAATTCAATAAGAAGATAACTAGTTATTTGCTAATTTCTTCTGATAAAATCAGTAAGCGAGGGTGATTATTATTAAAATTCAGAGTATTTTCATAGGGTTTTATTAGTTTTCTTATACAAGGCTAGAATAAGGCTGATTAATTTACTTTACAAACAAAAGAAAGGAACAAGAGGAAAAACTAAGCGTGTTTTCTAGTGCGGACATTAGAAGTTTTATGAGTTAGAGGATGAACTTCTTCTTTGGCTCTGTTTTCTCAGCGTTGTTGCCAGCAATCTAATTCATAGGCTTTTTGAATTCCTAATCAGAAATCAAGAGACATTCCAAAAAAAAGTGCTAATCGGCAAGCAATATCAACAGTAAATTCTTTTTTTTCGGCCAAAATATCTTTTATTTCTTCTACTGGAACATTAATGCCATTGGCTAGTTTTTGAGGGGTAAGTTTAGCAGGAACCAAAAATTCCTCCCTTAACATTTCACCCGGATGAATGGGTTCAATTTTCTTTACCATATTCTTAATTTTACTCATAATGTTTGCTTATTCTTACTTCGTAGGCATTATTGTCTTTACCCCATTTAAAAATGATGCGATACTGCTTATTGACGAAAATGCGGTAATAATCTTTTAAATTTCCTTCAAGTTTACGAAGACGATTACCAGGTATTTTGGATAAATCGGTTAAAGAAGTAGCAAGGTCTAAGTTCCGCAAACTTCTGCGGATTTCTTTACGATAACTTCTTCATTCTTTAGTATCTTCTCAATCGCGGTAAAATTTCTCTTCTTTTTTGCTTTTTCAAGTCTTAATCATTTTAATTTATTTTTTTCTTTATTTTTTTAGGAGAAAAAAGGATAAAAAACTCCATTAACGAACTAAATATTTATGTTCTTAAATCTTGCCTTGCTGACACAATTTTTTTAACTTGGCTAGTTGGTTATCAGCAATTAGACTTCTAACTACTTCCAGTTTAGTTTCTAATCGAGTGTATTTTTCTAACTGAACTCGTAATTGTTCCTCATAGCGTGTTCGGTCAACTCACACTTGTTTTTCTAATCTATTCACCTTACTGGCATCGGTTTCCTGGTCTTGGGGGATAGTAATTAGAGCACTATTCCCTTTATACACTTCCCGAAAACCTTGTTCTTTCATTTCTTTTAGTTCGGTAGCGGTTTTTACAAATTTTTCTTTAAGCATGGTTCAGGCTTCCATTACTTCTTGTTTTTTTTTTTTTTTTTTGTGGATTAGTCATAATTTATTCTCTTAATTTAGTTAATAATTCTTGACACTCTTTTACAATCTTTTCATTTTTCTCTTTTTGCTTGGCAAAAGCTTGGATCATTGGATTATTAGGCTTAAGTAAATTGTTTAAGTGGGTTAAACTATTTTCCCTTTCCGACTTACTTTTATTAAGTCTTTCAAGAGTTTCTTCCTTTCGTTTGTGTCAACTTAGCCTTTCTGCTTTGGTTATTCCAGCTGGGAGTTTTTCCAAGTGTATTTTTTCAATCTCCCGATTCAAGCCTGCTATTTCGGCTACTAAACTTCCTATTCTACTCTTAGTATCTAAAAGTTCAGGATTAGAATGTTCAGTCAGAAAACTAGAAGCAAAATTACTATGAAATTCTAAGGCTTCGATAATTAACTCTTGGTTTTCTTGAACAGGCTTAAATTTGAGTAGTTGAGTTTTTAAGGAATTTCAATGAGTTATTACTTGTTCGCGTAGCATATTATTCTAATTCTTTACTTAATTCTTGAAATTCTTTTAACAATTGCTCCAACAACTTCTCATTTTCAGTATTTTCCTGGGTGGCTAATTCTAATTTTTGGTGAATTTTGTTTTTTAGTTCGGTAAACTCTTTGATTATTTGTTGTAATTTATTCTTTAACATAATTTCTGTAATTCTTGGATTTGGTGGAGGAGATTATCCATGGTGTCTTCTAGTTCCTTTTCGTGGTCATCGGTTTGAGTGCTGGTTTCTTGATGAGGTTGAGTTATTTTTTGTTGAATACCAGTTAATAACTTATATAATCCCTCAAAATCAATTCTTTCATAATTAACAGCCTGGTCATCAAACAAAACATTTATTCTTCTTAATTGTTCTTGCTGTTGTTGTTCTAACTCATTAGCTTGCTCCCTTAATTTAACTAACTCTTCTTCTTTTTTACCTAATCTATTTACTAAAATACTTTTGGAATTAGTTATTTGCTGGCTAGTTTCGGTTAACTC